GTCAATACTTTGAAGTTTTCAAACAGAAATAATGAAACATCCACTGTAAGAGAGTGAATTTAAGTGCTTGTCATTCACGCAAGATAGTTTCAGTTAATTAGCTGTTTTGTGGCATCGAAGCAACAGAATATGGTCTAGCAAAAACAAGAGAATTTCATCGGTAAGATAATTTTTTTTCCCGGTTTTAAAAGATCATTGTTTAGTTAATAGCAAGAACGGATCTAAGCGGTTACTGTTTAACCCTTCAAAGGACAGAAAACTCCAACTTTCTTCGTTTGGTTCCGGCTTTTGGTGAAAATTATTTAGTGTTTGAAAGGTAAAATTAAGTTGGCCTAAACGGAATATTATTAATGGCCTTTTAGCAGTACCTTGAGGAGATTGTCTTGTACCGTTTACGTTTTTTATTTCTCGAAATGTCCTTTTGTTTGTTTGTTTTTGTTTTTTCGACTTTTGGCACTTTTTTTTGCAGTTACGAACATATTTTTCAAATTCGATTAGTGACCGTTAAGCGAAAGGTTATATTAAGTTACCGCAAAAAAATTGTGTTGCTGGAGCCCGCAGAGATTTTCTCGTTTTAGCCTTCCTCCTACACGTCAAAGGCTTTTTAGGGCATCAGAAGAGTGTGAAGTTTTCTGAAAACGCCGGCTTATTCTCATCATAAATCATACAGCGCATGCCCTAAAAGGGATGATACCGTATTTCGTTTTAGCGTTTTCTCGTCGACGGGCGAAAACGATTCGAACACTAGTCTACGTGTAGAGCAGAAACTGAGAAAGACTCTCTGTTTTTCAAAAATATCCGGATAAGCGAGGACGAGGTCTGAAATGATTTTACCGAGTGGTTGGAGATATATTTTTACTCGCTTACCAATCGTCTCATTTGCTGTAAAACACTCTTCTAAAATCTTTCAGATTTAAGGTCCTATTAGGAGGATTTTAAGATAGAATTAAAAAAAAAAATAACCGGGATATTTTGAAAAGATTATTCTGGAATGCTTTGTACCGATTAGTTCTTAGCTTTGAAGAGCAAAAATAGTTTGTTTTTTTTTATTTGAAAGATGTAAGAAGCAAGGAAAAGATTAAAAACAGAAAGTTTTAGTACTTAATATTTGTTGCCGGAGACGGAAAATATTGGCCCTTACAGGAAGTTGCTTTTAACTGATATTGCGGATTAATTGACGGTAAAGGAAAAATGAACATAACTCAAGTTACTACTGCTGCAGTTACGAAAAATCTTTTTAAAATCGATCTAAGTTTCCGTTCAGCGAAAAGAAAAAAAAAAAAAAAAAAAAAAAAAAAAAAAAAAAAAAAG